TTATACCTTTCAAGAGAATTACATTAGCAGGAACATATATATTCATGTAATAAAGCTGGAAACTACCATGCAAAGCCATACTGCTTTAAATATGTATGTGAAATACAGTATGCAAAGTTCTGTATTGACCTGAGCCTCTGTTGCACCACTGTCTTCAGCAGAAGCATGCTGGCTTCAAGTCAGTAAATTTGGCTCAGTGGACCTAGTATGTGCCTGACTCAGCTACCCATGTTGGAAATACAAGTCTGTAACCGCATGGGATGTTTAAGCTCAGGACTTCAGACCTCATTTATCTGCTGGTGTCAGGAATGATGTGTGGTGACATGCTACCTTCCTGGAAATGTCAGTGGCCATGTATTATGTGCAAGCATAGGGCAATCAGCATCCTTCCAGGAAATGAGGTAGGTCTATGTCAAGGTCTGCATTTGCACATCACAACAATTTAGACTCTGCTTGCTGATGAACAAACACTTTGTCCTTCATTACAGAAATCAAGTTCACATCTCCAGAAGCAATGAAAACTTAAATATTGTTTCATTCTGACCTCTCACTCTGATCTGTGTCATTAGTTATCCCCAGCAACTACATTTCTCTTGGCTAAATTAATCAACGGCCCTTTTAAGGCAGGTCCATTTCTTTCTTCACAGAAGAAACTGCATCATGTTATCTACCAGTCAGCTTCAAACTTTTAATTGTGGAGTGCACTCAAAGACTAGCCAGTGAGAAAACTGGAATCAATACATTAGGCTAGCACAATCTGTATTTCAGGTCAACATTCGAAAGAGAAATGGCATTTTTAAGACCGATGTCCAGTGATCTGCTGTTTCTGGGTGAAGGCAGACACCTATCCTCAGTCTCCTGAATATATTGGCAGCAGTCAGCCCAGGGATGCTATGGACAGCAGTTTGCACAAGAGCTAATGGGATTCACCTGAACTGTTGTAAGCCCTATTGAGAGACACAACATCTAAAACTCCAACTTCAAATTTCTCTAGTTGTGAAGTACTCCAAAGATCAATTATGTTTATATCCTTGCCAGTATACTAGAGTCTGGATGAGAAAGAGTTAAAATGAGAGACAAATGCTAGCAGATTAATACATATCCAGCAAATGGGAAAAGCATGTGCACGTTCCAGAAATCAAGGTAGTGTTAAGACAGTGACAGCATAAATGAGAATAAGTAGACCTGTTCCTGAAACAGCCTTTCCTATAGACTGGATAAAAAGCAGGATTTCTAGTGTATAATAGTTTTGGTTTAATTTCAGTCTCAGCTGGAAATTCATAGCCAGTTTTGAACTGTGATCTGAGTACCACAAACCAAAGGAGGTGTTTACCTCCTGGCATACAGGTAAGGCTCTTTCTTAATATTGGGCAAACTTTTTTCACTGAAAAGCCTGTAACCATCTCTGGCCAACAGCCTGAAACATTCTCAATTTCCAGGAACGGTGATAATGATGAACTTCAATGAGACAGAAAATGCTTAAGTTTAAGGACGGTTCAACCATTTCATACTGAGTACTAAAATATAGTCATTTCAAATAAAATATATTTAACTCTTTAGACCAAAATTTGGGTTTCATATGTGCATTAAACAGACAAAACATCTCTATTGACAAGATTTACTGAACTGGAAATCTGTCAGAATAAGCCCCCTGAAAATTAAAACAGACATCAGACTACATATATAAATGAAAGACTTCCACAGTTTTATGTATACAACGGACTCAGAAGCCAAGTTTACATAACTTCAGTAAAAGCATTTGATGTGTAAGTCCACATTGATAGCCCTTTACATGAAAAATATGATTCCTTTGTCTTCTGGTATTACATTGGAGCTTTTATTGCACAGTTGGAAAAAAAAGTGATAAATCCAAACCCTTTCATCAAAAGTATTTTATGGAGAATTTCCAGATACCTCCTCCTACCAGATGAAAACCTTTTGGCAGATCTTCACATACGAGATGGTACTATATTTACAGTACTGATTCAGAGACCTATTTCTCCACTCTTAACTAGTGTCCTGTATTTTTCGTTCACTCTGATGTGATCTTTTGGCAGTCTTACAATTTTAAAACTCAGTCAAAAATGAATGTTTTGCTTCTTCCTTACAAATTTTGACCACAATAGGCAATACTGACATCTTGCTGTTATTCATGCCTAATTGACATGTGCTATTTTTTACTTGGTCTTCCATCTTTTCACTCAGTCTTTCTGACTGGAACCCTATCTTGCCACCCATGCCTCTGTAATATATATGCCTCTGTAACCTGTACCAGTGCTTTGTCACCCACACAGTGAAGTCCCTCTTGATGTTTAGATGAAATCTCTTGTGTTCCAGCTTTGTGCTCATTGCCTCCTGTCCTGGCACTGGACACCACTGAAAATGGCATAGCTTCATCCTCTTTGCACCATCCCTTCATGTATTTATACACATTGATAAGATACCCCCGAGCTTCTTCTTCTCCATGTTGACCAGTCCCAACTCTCTCAGACTATCCTCATAGGAGAGGTGCTTCAGTCCCTTGACCAGCTTTGTGGTCCTCCTCCTCATTCTTTCCAATATGTCTCTCTTGTACTCGGGGGCCCAGAACTGGGCACAGTATTCCAGGTGTGACCTCACCATTGCTCAATAGATGAGAACGATCACTTTGCCTGACCTGCTGGCAATGCTTTGCCTAATGCAGCAAAGAATATCATTGGCCTCCTTAGCAGCGGGGTACATTACTGACTCATGCAGTCTGTACTCAATGCATACAAATGCACTCAATGTATAGTGTAACTAGCATGTCAAGGGAGGTGATTCTCCCACTCTACTCCACTCTTGCAAGATGCCACCTAGAGTACTGCATTCAACCCTAGGGCCACGGACTTAAGAAGGACACAGATCTGTTTGAGTCCAGAGGATGGTCATGAAGATGATCAAAAGACTGGAGCACCTATCCTATGAAGAAAGACCGAGAAAGTTGGGGTTATTTAGCCTTGAGAAGAAAAGGCTCCATGGACACCTTATCAAGGCCTTCCTGTATTTAAAGGGTGTCTCCAGAAAAGATGGGAAACATAGTGACAGAGCAAGGGGTAATGGTTTTAAACTGAAAAAGGGTGGAACTATATGCAAGGAAGAAATTGTTCACTCAGGGGGTGGTGAGGCATTGGAAGTGGTTGCCCAGAGAAGTTGTAGATGGCCCATCTTTGGAAGTTTTCAAAGCCAGGCTGGATGGGGCTTTGGACAACTTGGTCTAGTGGAAGGTCCATGGGAAGGTCCATGGCAGTAGGGTTGGAAATAGATGATCTTTAAGGTTTCTTCCAACCCAACCCATTCTATCATACTATGACTATGTCATTAGTGCTCACATTATGTTAATATATATGCAAATATTTTTTTCAAGGCTCTCCTCTGTTGTGATATCTATAAGAAGCATTATCAGTATTGACTGTCACTTTTGGGCAGCCAATTCAACCATTAACGTTTACTGATTTTATATGTTTGAGTAGCTTATATAATCAACCCAACTATATGACCTCATATTCCTGCCACTCACGTACATTTTTCCTTCTAGATTTCTATGATTAGAATATGAAACAAAGGGGGAAAATATCCATATATTTTCATACTGTGTATAAATTCATTTAGTATTTTGTCCCGGGGGACAGTAAATTCATTGGGAAAGGGATGTCAGTACATATTTCACAGCATAACGTAGCAAAGTATCAGTCTTACTTCAGCATCTGACTCTCAAATAAATTGCTTCAAGTATTCTAGAGAACCTAGGTTAAGGCATCAAATATCTAGGTACCAAAATCCACCTAATTAAGTAGTCTTACTTTCCAAACAACTCAAATTCACAGCTTCTCTTTTTGCATCATGTATACTTGTTCTCATATTTGCTGAGCAAAGAGTTTCACTCATTGTAAATATCTGAAAAAGAGGCATATTTTGATAGAGATGTAAAACAATATTAAAGGATGATTAATTTCTGAGGATAACATTCTAAATGACATAAGATCAAAAACCCTGTAATCAAAGCAGTGATTCGTATTGAGTACTACATATTGTTTGCATTGAAAATGACATATCTGATGTCTATTTTAAAGTAGCTTCTACTTTTAAAGAAGCTACAGCCCTTTAATGAACTATGGGGGGGAAGGAGAGGTGGCACGGGAAACAAGTTGAAGGAGGCATTATTGGATTATTCACTTTTGTAGGACAGAACCTGTTTGTATAATCAGAGATATGCCTTAAGTGGTCTTTAAAGAAAGTCAGATTTTGTTTAAAAAAAAAAAGGGGGAAGGAGGAGGCTTCATTAAGTAGACTGACAGGCTCCATAGATTTCTTAAGTGTTTAAATTAAGGATTGTGAGTTCTTGAAACTTGACAAGGAAAGCAGGATTGTCACTGCTGGCTGTCTGAACCAGAGGTAAGTGCAGATTAAGCTTTTCCTGTCTCTATTATAAACATATTGTTCCTGTTCTCAAAAGCTCAGTGACGTAGAAGAGACTAGTTTTTTTATTATTATTATCTGAAAAAAAAATTAAGTGTCAGATAAAATTCTAAAGTATGAAAAGTACTCAGATGCTGCTCGTTATTATTTTAGTGGTAACTATTTGGCATTTGACACAAATTACTTAAAGAAATTAAAATCAATCATATCCAGATACCTAGAACCAAGTTATAAGAATGCTCATGAGGAGCATGGCATGCTTTAAAATATATTCATCCATTCTGTTGATCTTTCTAGAATTATTTATGGAACTGGATTCAACTGATATTGAATTTATGTTGTACTTATGTGGCACGTTTTCTGAAAAACTATTTCTTACATAGTATAAATACCTCTGCTTGTTCTTATGAAGTTTGGCTGAACAAAATGAACTTAGAGAGTGTAACAGAAAATTTGCATTGTTTAGGGGCAGTTTTTGTTGTTTTTGTTCCCCCCCCCCCCATTTGGTAAAGGTGGGTTTCAGTGAAGTAGTGAAGGCAGGCATTTTCGGAAGCTAAGCCCAGTCAAACATTGGTTTATTCAGGCTTTCTGTTCAGAAAACCCAAAGAACAGCTTTCTTTGACAACACAGTCTTACTCAGGGCTTCTGAAAACAGACATTTTTCTTCCAGCACAATTACTGATACAGTATTATCAATTAATCAGGCAGATGTTGCAGAATTACATTCCGTATTCTAATACAGGTGTCAGAGTACATACAAGCGTCTCAAAACAACTACCTGATCTGTCACAAATTAACACTGAAATGGTCTCATGCCTTCATCACATCAATAACTTCAGCATGCCTCTTGATATTTGTTTATGCCCTCCTGTGCCTGCTGGAAACTTTTAGAAGCTGTGCAAAATCTTTTGCCTTTCTTATTTTCTCCAAAATAATTCAGTCCATGCACATGTGCTAAGGAAGCACAGTTTTTATATCAGTATCTTGTTTAAATGCGTATTTCTTCCCACCTCCTCCCCCCAAACACTGAGGATGCAAGGCTTTATTTATTTAAGAAAAAAAGGTACATGTTGCAGATGTTCATAGGTCTGATAACTTCTTAAAGAGAATAGCTAACTTTTCTCTTTTGTTAAACAATAGCTAAAAGCAAATTAAACATGATGCTTAAGGAGGTGCATTCCACATGCATACTTTTGATTTTATAATCCCCCCCAAAATGTTTCTACCTCTTTCAGTATGAAAACACATGCTTTGGTTGCTTCTGTCACCTGGCTGAAGAATAAAAAATAAATAAAAAAAAAGTTACTGTGTGCAGTTAATATCGAACAGCAGCCATCTCCAGATGATCCCTGCTGCATCCAATTTCTGCCAAAATGCTTTCTGTTAAACCTCCATCAAACAGACACACGGCGCACAAAAGAAAACCTCATCACCAAGGGAAACTAATCCACCGGTGCGCAATGTAAGCCTGTCAACTTTTTATTATAAGAAGTCATCACTCATTTCAGTGAAGATTAAAAGTATGACTAAATTGAGAAAATCCTCTTAGCCATTCGGAATTTTAATAGAGGAGAAAAGGGGGTGAGTAAAATTTAAACTGTGTGCGCTTGTGTGCCTATATATCTATCTCTATATGTGTGTATGAATCAAATATATAAAATTACATATATATCTCCACACACAAGTTATATTTTATATATATATACACACATACAGAAGGAGAATGAATGGTGGAAATAAAATGCTTAGAGCTGTCCCCTCACTGCCCCATAAAAATAGTCTACCAAAAATTCATACATAAACATGTAGCCTTGTAGTACGTTTTCTCAGTTACCACAGACAAACAGTTTCTGATTCAGACGAGCTTAAGAGATAAGAATGGAAAATGAGTCCTCACAGCTTTAATTACATCGCCACTGGCAACAAGGTGTTACAGTGGCAGAATGACAATTGCTTTTACTCAGAGTATGGATTCAGGGTCAATATGCTATTTCATCCTAGTACACCACAGCAGATGAGCACCATGTTGTTTCTATATTGGCCTTACACTACTTTATCCCTGCAGGTAAAGTTGTTCTGATGTGCAATTAGAATTACAGATGTGTATTTAGCTAGTGCTTGCTTTTGCAGATTATGTTGAAGACAGTAAGTTTCACTTAAGCTGTCATTGAAAATGTGGGTAATCTTTTGCATTTAGAGACCATAATCATCTTCCCATTTCCAAGATTTAGCTGGCATTAAAGAATTATTGCTGTAGTCACTTTAAAGTTTGAAAATGATCAGATGTTATCTTCAAAGTCTTTAGCTGCATATTCAAAATATCAAAAAAGAAAACAAACAAACAAAAACTTAAGTTACATAACTCTTGGCAGCCCTCCCCCTGATCCCCAGTCACCATCTCCTAAGTTTTCACATTGACAGGAAATAGAAATAATTTGAAGATCTTAATAACAGGATTTAAGAAAACATTAGCATAAATGGTCACATTTCACAAAAGACAAACACATGCACCCAACGTTAAGTCCTCTGCTAACAAGAAGATAAACTGCAACTGAATCTTACCTTATTGCTGTTACACACTCAACTGAACTGAGTTGAAATTCTTTCTGCAAATCACTGAGGGCTGTAAGACCAGGCAACCTGCCTCTTAGAGCATAGTTGAACAGTGATGCTGACACCTTTGGGAGAGGCAGAGGAACCTGTCAGCAATTTTAGCCCTTTGATTAAGTCTTTTTTTTTTTTTTTTTCCTTTAAAAAAAACAAAAACCCCACAAAACTTACTAAATCTTTTTTTTTTTTTTTTTTCTAGTCAAGTAGTCTGATTTGCTAGGGATAGACAGCCAGTGAACTGTTTTTGCTTTCAAAGCCTACTTTACTTTCCATAACCTTCCCTTCCATCCAATGAAAAGCAACTGTGGCCTTTTACTAAGTAAATGAGCAAATATTTTCCCAGTGTTCACCAGGTTAGATCCCCATTTAATTAAACTGGCTCATTATGTCCCTATCTGATTAGCAGAGTAGAATCAATTATTCAATGCACAAACATGGCTGCAGGAGCTAGAG